TTATTTAACGCGACTAAATTATTGCTGTCGCTGACGTTTTTATTGACCCATATGCTGGTCGTTGTGGGAGTGGCAGGAATTAAACAAAAGGAATTAACAAAGTGCCAACTAAAATTGCCATTTGCGGCAGCCATATCGTTAGAGTCGCACACATACACGAATCCCTATATATCGTTTTAATTTTCCCGCTTCCTTTTTTGCCCAGGAAATAAAAAAGAAAATTTATTTATTTAATTTGCTGTTTGCCAGAGCTGCGTTTTGTGCAAACAAATGCGCGAACAATTCATTTAAAATGTAACGTGCACACACATTCAGATCGTACGCGAACGCATAAAACTGAGTGTATTTGCACGAAAAAAAGGAAATATACCTATATATATAAATATATAGAGGTATATACCCGCACACTCACTTGCATATATTCCAATCGTGTTATTTGCATTTAAAATTGCCAGGCAACGGAAAGCCAACTTTTTACAGGCTTTTTGGCGTTATTTTTTTTTCTGTTCGTGGTTTATTTGTGGACAATATTTGTACTCTACCTTTTTTTTTTAACTGAATTTTGAATTGTTTTTTGTGCTTTTTATTTTAGCCAGTGCAGTGTTTGTTTTATTTTATTTTAATTGAATGACATAGAAGATATGGTCTAGGGTTGGGTAGCTATAAATAAAATAAATAATTAAATGAATATTTAAATGAATGGCAAAGGAACTGCAAAATTAATTATAATTTTAGCCACCGAAAGGTTATGAACTAAATATGGAAGAAAATATTAAAATTTTAAAATTTTCTCTATTATAAGGCCTAAAAATAATTGTAATATGAAAAAACTATAAATTTATGATCCCAAAATACATAAATTCACTACGAATAATAAAGAAAGAAACCAATTAAAGTAACAAAATCTTTTAAGTAAAAACCCTGGCTAATTTTTAATGAATACCGTTTGCAAATTCATTTCCATTTAATACCAAAGACACTTTATTATTCGTTTTCTTGCTTTGGCCAGCGTTTCATGAATATCATGGGCGAGTCAATTTATTTTTTCCCCCGAAAACCAGAGATTGCGTTATCATTTCGAGCCCATTCCAAGCAAAAACTAATAACATCCGCTTTGTGGTTTGTTCGTTTTGATTTCAATTCAGATGCCTCAACGGCGAATGCAAAGCGACTGTCAATTACACACAATTAAGCCGGATTTCTATGTATTTGGATTTCCATTTCCGTTGCGTGCTCCGATATTAAACGTCAGCCGCAAATCCACAAACAAAATCGAACGATCTAAAAACCGGAGTCCGTCTGTTGGTTGGTATTTGCCGGATTTTCTGTTTGTACATAAACGTAGAACGGAAATTGATTTCGTTTTTATATACGTATATATTATTTGTTGTTATGGAAAACCAACTTTGTTTAGGTAACATTCTCGATTTGCACGCCCGCATTGCAGGGGTCACCGAACTCGGGTCAATTCAATAAGCATATTATAATAATCAGGCCACAATGATGATGACCAATCCCAAATGCACATAAAAGATGTTGACAGAGGGTACTAGGGATGCCAGATGCTGGCCGGGGGATGAGTGAATGGAAAAACTTTCTAATATATTTCGCAAACAATAATGCCGGAGGCAAATTGGGATTCGGTAAAGGACGAAGGAAGTGCAAACAGCAGCGAGAAGGAGATGGACACTCGGCATTTGGGAGTCGGTATCATATGGAAACCCGGCAGGATTACCCATAACATAAGCTACACGACCAACTCTCAAGGCTGTCCACAAAAAAGCACACAAAAATAATAACAGAAAAAATAAAGCAGAGGCAAAAGTAAAACAATCATAAGCAGCAAAACTTTTCCATATTTCGCCAGCACTATCCGTTCTCTATCTGCTCTTGTTTTGTGGAACTTTGCCGGGGTTTTGTAGCATACATTAGAGCGTGTTGAAGCGCATTGAATTGTGTATTGGGAATTGTTTACAATGCTGCAAAAGTTTTTACGTTCGCTTAGCCAAAGGCAAAGCGACTCTGCTCCACTCAACGCGCCTGCAAAGTTTCTTAAGCAATTGCCGGGAACGCAGGACGAAGGACGAACAAAGGGCGGCAAAGGATGGGCGGTGAGTAGGTTTTGGCATTTATTAGATGCACAACCCTCCAGCGATCCGAGTGTCCTGCTTCCTGCATCCCTCTGCTCTGGGCCATGACATAACTTTTCAGCCACAGCATTTCGCTTTGCGGTTGTCACCGAAGGACTCTGACTCTGGGCCCCGGGTTTTGGTTCTCCGTTTAATTTATTTAAAATACTTTTTGCTGACTGCAGCTCTGCGGAAAGTTCCCAGTGCAACAAGTTGTAACAAACAGGACAAAAGGCGTCCTTGTTCAATGGGCAAAGGGACCTAAAAGCCGCATAACTTTACAAAAGTCCAGCTGAACTTGTTCAGTACTTGCACAAATTATGCAAATTCCTTCAATTATCTATATGTTTTTCCTCCATCGGATGAGAATGTTTATCAATGAAACAAATTAGTACAAGTTGGGTTTTTCAAACAAGAAAGGAAATTGTATAAGCAATTAGGAGTCATTCAAACTAAAGATGAAACTGTTTTTAAAACACATATTATTAAACTACCTTCGTTTTTCCTTTATCAGACAAAACTTCAAATTCTCCCTAATTTTGTGTTATTTTATTTTAGACAAAAGTCAATTTCGCCTTGACTTTCAGCTAATATCCTGTCGGCGAAACTATAATCGAGATGAACCATCAACGAGTGCTATTTGGATTTGTAATTGCTTTGGCTGCGGGCCACGTTCTGTTAATTATATCCGAATGGCTTTTTTGGCAGCTCCGGCAATTATTTTGATTGCATCCAACCGGCCAGCGCAGACCGGGAGATTGTTGTTTTCATTTGAGAGCCATGTTAATGCCCTTTCTGTTGAAAACTTTTACGTCGTATGCGCAATATGGCTTTTTATGGCCATTAATTAGAAATACAATTTCCCCCGGGGGCGATGTGCTTATGTGTTTCAAAGAGGGAAGACTCAAACCGGATGCAGGATGCCCCAGGGCTTTTCTTGACACCTGAACAACAACAACAATAACAAAAGGATCTCGGCTTTTGGTCTCGGATTGCGTCTCAGTTACATCCGCCCGAAGGACAAACGATGCGAAGGCTCTGCCTCCGATGCTGACTGATGAGATTAATTAAGCAAGGCAAACAAAAGGATTTTAGTTTCATGCAGATACTCCTGACACACACATGTACATAGATGGACTAGCTTCATTGGTGGCGGTGTTGTTGTTGTTATTGCTGTTATCCTTGTTGGATTGACAGGCAGCATTGCGTATGCCTGTTGGCATTTTTATTGACAAGGACACATTAATTACTCAATGACATTGTAATCAAATATAAGCATTGCCCGAAAGCATTTGCTAGTTCTTGCTCATCCTGCTGTTGTTGTGGTTGTTCCTGTTTGCCATTATCCTTGTTTCTGCTGCTGTGTGCGTGTGTGTCAAAGTTCAGCGTGGGTTCCGTAAATCTTTTCCTGATGTCAATATTGCGCATACGCCACCGACATCGCCACCATGCACGAGTGTTTATTTAAGTTACACCGCCCGCCCTATAAGCCTGGACACGCCCTTATATATATGCATATACCCCGGTGGATGTGTGTGTGCGTCTCTCCGGGTCCTGTGTTTTATTAATTACGTAATTATGTAACAAATTAAATGCATGTACAAGCGTCAAGGGAAAGGGAAGCCGGGTTGCTGGCAGCTACTTAAACCGTTTGCTTGCATGTCGATGGCACTAAGTGGGTTAACTTGTGCCCGAGCATGCTTTATATGTAGTGGAACGCATCTCCTGACACACATCCTCAAAGGATTGCCGCTCGCAAAGAGAGTGCTTCGTGTTTACTTGGTCCGCATCCTGGAGTTCATCCTCAGGTACAAAGCGAAAAACAAGTTTTGAAACCAAGCCATGAATAGAATACTTGGAAATCAGGATAAGAGGCTGACAAGAAAGCTAAAGCAAACTGAATATGATGGATAAACATGTCTTGAAAATGTTTAGAATTAATTGGATGGTTTCAATTAATTAAGTGAGTTGCATTAAGCTGTCATCTTTACAGATAAGATATAAGATAAACTTTACTTTAATTTTATTATTTTTCTAATACATATCGTGTCATATGGTAAGGACATATTTTCCCAAAACCAATTTAGAGAAAATACTCTCTCTGCCAGATTTAAAATCACAAAAAAGAAATGATTTGTGTTTAGAGCCAAACAAAGATAAACAACCGGCTGGGCCACAAATCTTTCGCCAGACTCCGCACACAGCACCCAAAGAAATCTGAGTAATTACAGATCCGACACTCAAAGTTTATCCAGTCCTGCACATGCTATGGCAAGGACATTTCAACTCCATCCAACAGCCATAAAAAAGTTTCGCTTAACGTTTTCCGTGGCGCACTGAGAGTGTGTGTGTGTGAGTGTGTGTGGGCTGCAACATTTGTCTCATTTTCCCCTGTCGTTGTCAAGAGTCTCCGGTGCTCGTCCTCGTCGTGGTCCTGCTGCTGCTTCTGGTCTCACATTACACCACGGCACGCATTTAAAATCCAAATTAAATATTTCCGCATGAAACTCAAATCTTACAACTGATTAAATAACCCAGGACCGGAAGAGAGGGAGAGACAGAGTGAGAGAGAGAGAGATGGCAGAGGAATCCTGGCGCAGGACCAGGGCATTCTTGGTGTTGAAATGCTGCGGGGCAAGTCAAAAAGGCAGCGAAGGCGGCAAGGACTTAAATTGCGACAAATATGTACGTATGCAGTGCACTGAGATAAAAAATTCAAATATTCTAGAAATTTGGAGTTTTAAATATTTATTGAATATGGGATTTTCTTTTTTAAAATATATATAGTAGTCAATGAGAAATAAGTTATTATTGCCAGTTCCCCAGCTAAATCTACTAATTCTTTAACCTAAACATACTTTATAATAAATAATGGATCGCTATCGAACAACTAACTATATCCGGTCGCCGAAAAAAGGATCCTTGGTTTATCGCAGTCTCGACTTGCGTCTCCAGAGCGCCGCGGCGGCATATTACTTGAAGTGGAGCTGCATCTGCCTCCTGTGGCTGATAGTGCTTGGCATCGACTTAATACGGATACACCGATCCTGCTGCCCTGAACCCCGTTATAGATGGGTTTTATTCGGATTCATTTTCTTAGCCTTCATTGCTCTGGTCTATTTCGTTAAGTATTTGCATCTTTTTTTCAAGAGTGACCCTGTGATTGGCACTGAAGATCAAAAGCGCCTATTGGATGGCTTGGATAACAACGGGGTGGATACGGTTTTGGATCTACCAAAGATAGAACCTGTCATCTGCGAGACGTCTGACACACTTATTAACGAAAGTACCATGCTCCTCATGCGAAACTATGCCTTAAGACGTTGTCTGTCGAACCAGGAACCCTCCCAGACTCTGAAAACCAAAAGTCGAACTGCTTGTCCCGAAGACTACCTCACCGATCTTTGTCAGCTTCCAGCTCTCATCAATCGAGCGAAGCGGGAACGTAGACTCTTGGAGAAGAGCATAAGTGTACCCGAGTTCCAGAGTCCGGCCTGCAGAGAGATGAGCCAGCGACTTAGGAACACCGTCTACAATTTGTCTCCGGCACCAGTAAGCAACAGGCCCATAACCTTCGAAGAGTTTGGCACCGCGCACACCCAAAAGGGCAGCACCGATCCTGCTCGATTCTCCTCCCAACAAATAATGCAATATGTGGTTAATTTGAGGACATGGATTCAAAACACCATACTGAAGCGTCTGGTCAGGGAGCTAGACTTTGTGAACAATGTGATGCAACAGCGCGGTTTCGTGGGCTTCGAGATCGGAACTGTGAGTTTGGACACCCTACGCCGGACTGTGGAGGGCCAGCGAATCATGCTGCCCGCTCTGCCCGCAGTGCTGGCCTTTCTGAACATCACCGGGGACCAGATGTACGTGGTACAGCGTATCCGGGAGCTGGAGAAATCCGCGCCCGATTCATGGAATTCAGGCGTACGAGTGCCTACCGATGCCGCCATTATATTCCATTTATTCTGCGTTTACCTGGACACCCAGTTGATGCCATCTGAAGGATCCGAGCCACCATTCTCCTCCCGCTATGTGGTCCAGGCCAACGCGCAACATTCCATAAGGGACATTATAAAAGCTGTGAACAACTATGCAAACTTTGCCTTTTTGGTCACCAATGACGAGGATCACAGAAGGCCACGATTTGATTTTATCTGCGGTGGGGAACTGCACAGATGCGCCGACCAGAGAGGCAGCCCATATCAGGTGATCATTGAGTTCCTTATGCATCTGCGTCAGCACCAGGACTCTACTCTAGAGGGCGTCAGCCTGAACAAGAATGGTGTTAACATAATGTGGGTTATTGGAGAGTCGTAGGAGTTTTTCTTTAATTGTTTGTTAAATATTATTACCTATTGTTATATTATAACTTTATAATGTGTTACAATCGAAATTGAAAGCCTTAAATAAATGTATAAATCCGAATTTTTTAGATAAGACCCAAGTTTGAAAGGTTAACATAACTCTAAAAGTAATTCTTGATATTGCCGGACTTGGTCTCGAATATTTTAAGGATATATTCCGAATAAAGTTTTTCTTTTCAGTGTCGGTGTGTTAAATGTGTTTGTATAATTGGCAAGCCAGCAGACATACGTTTGCGGGATGTTTCCATATCCCTCTGCTCCCTCCTGTTCCTCTCTTTCCCTCTTTTTAGCCATTTTCTCTTCCTTCTTCAGTTATGTGTCCTGAATTTTTAGCATTTAACAAAACTCAGCTCGGGCGTCGTTGTCCTGGGGTAATTGTGTTGTTATTTGCCAGCGCCCAAAATGCGCTGGCTTCCGTCTGCGTGGAAACTCATTTGGCCTGGCCAACAGAGAGACGGAGCACCTGGCTGAGACTTTGGCTCTGGGATGTGTGTCTGATTGTGCGTTTTATGAATGAATTTAGCCGCCTCCCCTGGCTCCTGCCAGAACACCTTGCTGATTGCAGAAAAGGACGAGAACAAGATGACAATGAGGGCGGCGGTGGGAGAAAACTTTGCCCTTAGCTTTTGGCCAACTTGCGTCCTTGCGCTGTCACTCACTCGCCCATTGCTTACAGTTACAACTTTCTTAGACAACTTGACGTTGGGTTTCACAGGGAAAAATATTGCCATTTGGTCGATGTTATATTTTCATTGAAAATTCAGTATTTCTTTTATCCATTTCATTGAGGAAATCTATTTTAAATTTATGGGAATACTTGAAAAGTCTATGAAGAACAAGTTTTCTTTTCTATAATATTTGTAAGATTTTCTATGAATTATTAAAAGTTTCTATTTAATATTTATATAAAATATATAATTAGGATCTTTAAAATATATATTATAACCAACAAAATATGTCATTAGCTTTTCAACTCTAACCAAAAAGATTTGATCAAGAAATTGTGTTCACCAAGTTCAACACATCCTAAAATATTATTCTCTGTGTTTGACCAGACCAAGATGCGCCTGGACTCCTTGGCCATCACGGGGCCAAAGTGAAAATCATTTGCACGGTAAAACGTTTTTCGGTAAACTCGTCTTGACATTGGATTTCGGAATATAAAATAAAATTACCAACAAATTGAAAATTGCATCCTGCGTGCAGCAGTGCCCTTCATCCTTCCTTCCTATCCAGGCATCCCATGGCGCCCGTTCGAGTTGGATACACGAAAACTTTTCTATTTTATACCCAAGGATTATGCTATGAATATAAAATCTTGCGAAATTACACCAACACAGGCACACGTGCCTACATGTACACGTAGAAAGTAACTGAAAGTTGCGGTCGTGACGTTGCAGAGGGGGCGGGGCCAAAGGTTATGACTGTGCGAATGTGATTTCAGATTGTGTGACTTAGTTAGGTTCTGCACTGGAAATATTACGAGGTGATTAGGTATGTTATGTCCTTCTATGGGGAATTGCGAATAGAAATAATTGGACAAGGGATCATGTTACATTTAAGGAGTCTATTGGGGTATATCCTTAAATGAATAAATGAATGAGATAATAAATTTACTATAAATAATAAACGTTCAAAAGATGTATGTAAAATATTTACTTCTTAAATGTACCATAATATTTATTAATATATTTAATTAATACAAAACAGAAATATAAACTAAACCCCTTGTAAATCAATATTCATTATCTGTAAGCTTAACAAATGACGCTCCAAACTTAAAAAAAAAAATCCTCACCTTGGGCTACAAATGGGGCTCCTGTCTGCAGGACTCCCGATGTAAGTGGAAACTTGTTATCCGATCGGCGAGTTGACGCTTGCTAACAAGTTCCTGCCCCGAAGGCAATGAACGGGATGCAACAGCTGGCATTTTTGGCTGAAAGGTCGCATTCTGGGTGCTGGCCTCGGGCTCTAAAAGTGTTCAGTGTAACACTCTCGGAATCGTTGCAATTTAAGAAACTTACTTGCAGTTTCTTCCGCTGCATCCTGCAGCCTGAAGCCTTCTGGCGTCCTGGTGAGGAGCAGCATCTGCCGGCGCAATCATAAGCCAACACCTAAGCACGTCAACAACACGTGGAGATGCCCCCGCCATCCCAGTGCTCATCAACTAACACTATTTAGTGTGAGAGGAGGAGCGGCGAAACTTTTTGCAGCTACTACTACAAGTAAAACTAAAATTTGCCAGATCATTGCTTCCGCTACGTGCAGGGATTCAGGATGCTGCTGGGATTCTGCTGGCATTCTATGATGCAGCTTGCAGCTTGTCTACGTGGAAAAACGATTTTCTGCCCCTGGGAGCTGTAATGTTATTATGCATACGGAGGAGTCCTTACGTCGGCATCCCTGTGTTGTGATTGTCAGTGCCAGTGGAAGGGAAAAACTTAATTCGAGTGCAGGCAATGGGCAGATTTGCCTAGGCACAACTTTTGGGCCAAATTAAATGTTAATTAAAACGTTATCAGCTTTGGGGTGTGTTTTCACTGTGTTTGCTAGGCCAAAAAAAAAAAAGAAAAAGAAAAAGAAAGCCTGGTCTGAACAGTTGTTGGGCATTACTTGCATTGCTGGGGCTTTGAAACTAAAGTTAAACATAATTTCTGCACGAATTGCCACTTGGCAAGTCTTCGCCGCTGCTTACTGTTCGCCGCTTGCTACTTGAGCGTAAATTGCACAGCTCCGGACTGCGGACTCCGGACAACGGACTCGAAGTCGGAGTCAGTTTCAGAGCCACAACCGCACACCCTCAGCCACACCCACACCCACATCCCCCTCAGTCAATCTCACACACACAAAGTGAGGCAGCCAGGCGAGTAAAGCCCGAGGGTTGGGTCCAAAAGGGCAGCAAATGAAATAAACGTGAGACGTGGAGCAAGGCAGCGAGTTCCACTTTCCAGTTCTCAGTGCAGAATACACAGAGAGAAAGTGGTCTTGGGATACTGGTAAAAACTTCTAAACTACAATTATGTTGCGTTAAAGCAGACAACAAATTTCTCAAGTTGTATTTCATTCTTTTCCTTGATTATTTGTTGGGGAGTTTCAGTTTTTCTTTAAAGATTTAATTTAAAGTATATAGATAGTTCTTACCTTATATATTTCTCCCTGTGCATCTCTCCCATTGAGCCACTACAAAACTGCAATGAATGGTTAATCAAGCAGCCGGCTTGAACAGCTTTTGGCTTCATTTTACAGCAAGTTGAACTGGGAATGGGAATGGGAACGGGCACAGAAACTGGATCGGGTGAGGGATGCCGGTTTCTGGGTGGAGTTCCAAGTGCCGGCTGCTTAACGGCAAGTACAGGAGCTGGGGCCATAGCCAGAGCCGGTATATTATGTGCAGAAAACGCACATAAACAAAGGCCCAAAGCCGGAGCTAAATAGGCCGAGTGCAAAAAGGCAAATGCAAAAGGCAAAGGCTGAGGCTGAAGCTGAAGCTGAACCTGAGGTGTGCCAGGCTTGACATGACCATGGACAGGCCGCAGAAAGGACCTGCCAACTATACGGGAATTAGTATAATGCCTGGCTAAACTTTTAAGTATATAGTCAGGGCCGGTGAAAGGCCATTGTGCATTGATACGAGTATGTAATTGATGGATGCACTTGACTGGCAGCAGAAACTGAGACTGTGAAGCGATTGTTCCTTAAAAAAAAAAAAAGGAAATTCTTCCCCTGAATAATATTTCTTCTTTTTAAGGCGCGGATGTTGGCATTCATTTACTTTGAACTCGGATAATCTTATCGTATAAGTCAACTCTGATGGGTTCTAAATCAAAAACTTAATATTTGCCCTGGCCAAATTCTTCTCGTCCGACAGGAAATATATATATAAAGAGTTTTTTACGACTACCGTAAGCTGCTTTATGGATTCTGGGGCTAGGCGAACAAAGCTGAATAAATAGGACCAGATGCAGCAGTAAATTCCGCGACTGCCCTGCATTACCTCAGCTGACAGTTTAACTATCCGCTAAAACGGGGGAAAAAAATATATATAAAAAGGGTGGATGAAAATAAATTTTTCCGTTTTATTGGTGGAAAGGCTTAAAAACGTTGAATTTCTATTAAATATCTGGCGCACACGTCGTATACGTAATATCAGATTACGGCGACGGCTTAAAGGCAAAAAAAAAAATTAACAAAAAGGAAAGAAAGAGAGAAGAAAAACAAAGCTGACTGAAAACAAAACCAAACAAAACAAAATAACAAAACAACAAAGGTAAATATACAGAAAAGGAAAGAGTGCAGCAAATACAAAAAACTCGCGCTGGCATAAAATAAAATGGAAATTACACGGAGTGAGATGGGAGTTGGCTTTGCTATAAAGGTGCTTACGTTTTTTAATTACCTCGTTTAAGGCACAACCCATTTGCACGTGTATGGGTGTAGCTCTAGAACTGTGTGGGTGTGTGTATTGTGTGTGTGTGTTTTTGTGCGCTTTTATCAACTCGTTTCGCCGTGTTTTACTCACTCGCAGACGTTGCCATAAGTTTTAATTAAAATTACTTTGCCCGCTGCCTGCCGGCTGATGATGCCGGTTGCCACTGCCAATCCAGCTCCTACTCCTGCTGTTGCTGCTGCTCCTGTTCCATCTCCTGCTGATCCTTCTGGCTGGAGTGTTTTGCCGTGTGCTTTTTGTTATTTGCTGTTTGCCTGCTCGCACTCATCACCTGGCCACTGTTTACGGCAGAGTTTTTTTGCGGTTTTTTGTTGCTGTTTTCCCTGCACAGGCCCCTCCGGCGGAGTTTTTTTTCCGGATAGGCATAGGTATATGAAGGCATTTCCAGCCTACGTCTCTGACATTGCCCCATTGCAATGACAATGGTCGTTGGCTCCAATCCCAGCTACAGTTCAGTTGGGTTCATCTCGTGCCGACCGGATATTAAAACTCTGCGGAAGTTGGCA